TCAAAAAAATTTTACAATTAAAGTATTAGCTGGAGGTTTTTCTATCAGGCGCTTCAGTTGCTTGAACATATGGACTCAAATGCTGATGATCACTTTGCTAAAATCAAAAGACAAACTCAGGAAAGAATGAGATGTTACCATGAAATATATGAAGAAAAGAAGAAAAGGACCACACAGACAATTCTCACTAACTTTCTGACTAGACATGCCATCTCCATTACCAGGGATAATCCAAATGATTCCACAAGTAGAGTTCCACAATTTAGAAAATGCCAAAACCATCCAACTCTACATCATTGTCTGAGTAAATCTGTATGATTTGTGTGTTTTTTATGTAGCATGTGTGCATTAAAATATATCCATAAGTTTATACAAATCTATGTAAACCAAAAGGGAAGAATATGCTCAGCATTTCTCAAAGCTAAAAGAACTGAAGAAAAAATTCCAAGCCTCCAGTTGCAATATTGAAAGATTCTATGGGCAAAATATTGAATGATCTAGGAAACATCAAAAGAAGATGGAAGGAATACACAGAGTCACTGTACCAAAAATAACTGGTCAATGTTCATCCATTTCAGGAGATGGTATATGATCAAGAACCAATGGTACTGAAGGAAGAAGTCAAAGCTGCATTAAAAGGAATTGGCGAAAAACAAGGCTCCAGGAACTGATGGGAATTGAGATGTTTTGACAAACGGATGCTGCGCTGGAGGCACTTACTCATCTATCCCAAGAAATTTGGAAGACAGCTACCTGACCAAGTGACTGGAAGAGACTCATATTTGTACCCATTCCAAAGAAAGGTGATCCAACAGAATGTGTAAATTATCAAACAATATCATTAATATCACACACAAGTAAAATTTTGCTGAAGATAATTCCAAAACAATTGTAGCAATATATTGACAGGGAACTTCCAGAAATACAAGCTGGATTCAGAAGAGGATGTTGAATGAGAAATATCATTGCTGATGTCAGATGGATCTTGGCTCAAAGCAAAGAACACTTGAAAGATGTTTACTTGTGTTTTATTGCCTATGTGAAGGCATTTGATTGTGTGGATCATAACAAATTATGGATAGCATTGAGAAGAACAGGAATTACAGAATACTTAATTGTGCTCATGAGGAACCAGTATATAGGCCAGGAGGCTGTCGTTCAAATAGAATAAGGGGATACTGTATGGTTTAAAATCAGGAAGGGAGTGTGTCAGGGTTGTATCCTTTCACCATACTTACTCAATCTGTATGCTCATCAAATAATCTGAGAAGCTGGACTATATGAAGAAGAAGGCAGCATCAGGATTGAAGGAAGACTCATTAACAGCCTGCAATATGCAGATGACATAACTTTGCTTGCTGAAAGTGAAGATGACTTGCAAGCACTTACTGATGAAGACTGAAGACTATAATCTGCAGTATGCACTATACCTCAACATTAAGAAAACAAAAATCCTCACAACTAGACCAATAAACAGCATCATGATAAATGGAGAGAAGACTGAAATTGACAAAGATTTCATATTACTTGGTTCCACAATCAACACCAATGGAATCAGCAGTCAAGACATCAGACGACATATTGCATTGGGCAAATCTGCTGCAAAAGACTTTTTGCAAGAGCTCAAAGAGCAAAGATGTCTCTTGCAAGAGTAAGATGCATCTAACTCAAGCCATGGTATTTTCAGTTGCCTCATATTCATGTGAAAGCTGGACAAAGAATAAGGAAGACCAAAGAAGAGTTGATGCTTTCAAGTTGTGGTGTTGGCAAAGAGTACTGAAAGTATGATGGACTTCCAGAAGAATGAACAAATATGTCATGGAAGAAGTACAGCTTGAATGTTCTCTGTAAGCAAGAATGGCCATACTTCCTCTCACCTAATTTGGTCATGTTGTCAGAAGTAACCATTCCCCAGGGAAGGATATCATGCTTGGAAGAATGATGGTCAGCAAAAAAGGGGAAGGCCCTCAATGAGTTGGACTGATACACTGGCTACAATGATGGGCTCAGGTATTGCAAGGACTGTGAGGCTAGCACAGGACTGGGCAGTGTTTCGTTCTGTTGTACACAGGGTCGCTATGAGTCAGAGCTGACTTAACAGTACCTAACAACAACAACAAGTTTCTATGTAATATTTCCAATGCACAAAGACAAATAAAGATTGGATTTATAAAGATACTGATAAGAAAAGGCATTAATAATGAACACTAAAAAAGAAAAAATTACTCAACTTACATTAGAATCAATTCAGAATGGAGTGATTGGAATGGATCCTTGTTATAAGTCAGGGACTACCTGTATTCAAATCATATTTGGAGTAAGCAGGGGTGTGTGGACAAATAATTGTGTTACATCACAGTAATCATTAGCCCCACCTCTCCACCAATGGCCCAGGCAAAAATAACGGTCTCGCACGTGAGGAATGCATCAGGCATGTTCGGGTGGTAGCACTCGTGACCATAGTCCAGGACACTGTCGTTAAAGTTGCTGCTGCACTGATAGAGTAGGATGTGATGGATCATACTCTCATGGCCTCTTTGTATCACTGGTTCAACCTATACAAGCACAAACAAGAGGATAAATGCAGTAAATAAACCATCCTACCACATCTTACAACAAGCATGAACTAGCAAAAATGATTATCAAAGGATTATTATCCTTTATCAATTATCAACTAGTTTTCAAAGGAATATTATTTTAATAATGTAAAAGTTATGGGCTTAAGTATAATTTGTTCCAGAGATAATGGCAATGATGATGATGAGGAGGAGGAGGAGGAGGAGGATAGTGACAATGATGAAGAAGATGATAATCATTTACTCCAAAATCATAGGACTTTTTTTTAATCTTTTTTTTTTTTTTTAACTTACTTTTGTCAAAATCCTTTACTTATTCCTCAAAGCAACTGTTTTAAAATGTGACTGCTCTCTTCAGGGTTCACTCTTAGTCTCCCTGTCTTCTACCTCATGATGCTGCTGTCTTTACTCATACCAACTGGAGGAGACAGACCACGTCTCATTCTTTATTATCTACCTGGTACTGGACATAAAGCTAGGATCAAAGTAGGGCTCAATAATGGATATTTTTATTCTATTGAAGAAGACTGAGTTCTAATAACATTTTTACTATTAGACTTTGAAAGATACTGGTTGGGGGGAAGCAGTAACAATGTGCTCCTGTTACACTGCTCACATCAGGAGAGGCAAACTAAAGCCTGTTAAAATAGGATGGGCTGTGAAGTTGGTCTTGATATCAAAAGTATGTTTCCACTGTCCCCTCTGTCAGTTTCCTTCATATGACACTTGCCCACTTCAGTCCAGGAACCTGTGGACCAATTGAGAATGAGCTAAGCACATTCTAAAATCCTAAACATAAAACAAACCCAAGTTGGTTTATGTTGTAGTCACGTTGATTCCGACTCATGGCAACCCCTATATTACAGAGTAGAACTGCTCTATATTTCTTGACTAATCTTTACAGAAGCAGATCACTGGACCTTTCAACCATGAAGCTGCTGGGTGGGTTTAAATGGCTGACCTTTAGTAAACCAAAGTAAAACCAAACTCAGTGCCATGGAGTTGGGCCCGACTCACAGCAACCCCTCCTTGGGTTTCCGAGGTGGTATCACTGAGGAAGTAGATTGCCCAACCTTTCTTCTGAGGAGTGGCTGGTGGGTTTGAACTGCCAGCCTTCTGGTTAGTGGTCAAATGCCTTAGGCACTACACTACCAGGGCTCCCATTTAGGTTAGTAACAAAGCACAAATCATTTGTACTACCTGTTGTTGTTGTTGTTATGTGCCTTCGCGTGGACCTGACTTACAGTGACCCCTCCTTGGGTTTCCGAGGCAGTATCACTATGGAAGTAGATTGCCCCATCTTCCTTCCGAGGAGTGGCTGGCGGGTATGAACCACCAGCCTTCTGGTTAGCAGTCAAGTGCCTTAGGCACTATGCTACCAGAGCTCCCTTGCACTATCTAGGGACCTTCTAAAGAAGCTCTGGGGGCACAGTGCCTAATCATTTGACTGCTAACCAGCAGATTAGTGGTTCAAACCCACCAGCCACTCTGTGGAAGGAAGACCAGGCAATCTACTTCCACAAAGATTTACTGCTTCAGAAATCCAATGAGAGTCACTATGAGTCAGAATCGACTGGATGGCAGTGGGAGTGGAGGGACCTTCTAATATCGTGGAGATTCTTATATCCAGAGGAAATGGATGCTTGGGACTTAGCCTACCTGGGCTGTAGGTGTTGACATCAGTTACAAGGTTCTTTAAATCTTCTAAATCTTCTGGTCAACTGATGAAGAAGCCCTGGTGGCTTCCTGACTTTGCAAGAGTTTAGCTGCCTTAGAGTTCATCAGCACTTCAGTTTTTGGTCCTAAATACACAAATGCAGGCACTGCCATTTTGAAACCCTCGCTGTGTTCTCTAGTTTGGACATACATGCTAAGAAGTATTTTCAGCTCATTTGCCTAAAGCTTCTTATTTCCTAATTTCTCCATTCCTTTTCTTTTTCTTTCCTTTCTTTTTTTTTTTTTAATAGGAAAATTAAAGTAGCCAAAAGGCAAAGGGATATGTAGAGGTATGAAGAGGTATGTAGAGGACTGAATGGGTAGCCAAAGGATTCAGGTCTTTAGATTTACTCTTGTTTTGCATAGTGAGTCATGCCACACCCACCCCACATGCACATATTTAACATCACATTCACCAAAATGACATTGCACATGGCTTTGTTTGCACTTGTTCTGTCTCTAAGAGGTCATGAGCCCTGCAGGCAGAAACTGTTTTCTATTTTACTGGAAAATGGCACTGTCAGTGTTCATGCATGGTTACATAATAAAGAAACAATGAATGCACAGAAGCGTAACCCAGAATCTCCACTGGAATTTAGTTTCCACATCTAGTGTGAGGTTACTTGTGGGATTTGACTTGTTTGAGTGCCTCATTACTCCAAGGAGGACAGGGTATTCCTAATATATATACTGTGAAATATTCAGGTAAAATATGGGATTTTTGTTAAGACTATTATAAGTTCAGGTAGAACTTGTAAGCTACACTAAGCCCAGCAAGGTCCATCCTGGAGAAAAGCCATTAGAGCAAATGAGACTTGACTGTTGCCAAGGCAGCTACAGAGAGTAATGCCCTTCATGAAGGGAGAGCAAGAAGAAGCTAAGAGAGTAAGTGCTGAACATGTGATGCTGAGTGGTGCCTGACTTTTTGATACTTCAAATAAGCTGATTAAAAGAATCTCTTAAAAGCATATGTTTTTTTTTCAAAAGACAGGCATATGAGCTTAACATTTACATTAGGTAGATATACTCCTTGGAGAGATCTATCATGGGAGAATAGAAGGGCTGTGTATGCACAGGGAGACAGCTTGGGGGACAGGAGTGGAGGGATGGACACAGGGAAGAGGTGGCTATGGGGAGGAAGTGGGAGGAGAGCTGTTGCATTGTGGGAGATTACGGTCAATGTCATGAGACAAAGTATACATCAGCTGCTGTATGGAAAATGAATTGGCTCTGTAAACTTTTACCCAAGTCACAATAAATTTTTTTTTTTTTAAAAAAGCATTTTTTTTTTTAATAGGCACTGCTGAAAATAACACTCAGATGTCAAGCTACCAACACATTCTAAGAATATTAATAGTAATGTTTATCTTTTCTTTGGGAATCCCTGAGTAGTGCAAATGGTCAACACACTCAGGTGCTAACCCAAAGATTGGAGGTTGGAGTCCACACAGAGGCACTTTGAAAGGAAGCCCTGGTAATCTACTTGGAAACCCCATGAAGCACAGTTCTCTGTCACACATGGGATCAGTGAGTTGAAATTAACTTGACAGCCAACTGGTTATCTTTTAGTTAGTATCTGCTCTCTGCCACCTACTGTATTAGAGATTCTACATATCTCACTTAATATTTACAACAAATCTATATGGTAGATATTATTGTTGCCTTTTATAGATGAGAAAACTGACATTCAGAGAGATTATGCAATAAACCCAAGGCCCACAGTTAGAAAGTGGTAGATCAGGATTTGGAGCCACGCCAGTCTGACCCCAAAGTCATTCTTCTTTTAACTGCATCACAGTACTACACAAAGAGTTGTTGGAGTTCTCCCCTCAAGAATCCTGGAAGTTGCTGCCAGTGAGAAGGAAGAACGGAAGGCTTCAAGAAGCAAAGTTGCTGATAGCTGTCATCACTGACGGCTGTGAAACCATAGAGTCAATATCAAGAGGTACTTTGGGAAGATACTAGCAAGAATCAACAAAAAGCAGTACCATCAGAGTAGGAGCATCAGGCTGGAGGCCCTATGCCTGGCAGCCTCCTGGCCAACTTGCCACCCTAGTCAAAATGCTTCTTGGCCTCTAAGGAGAGAAGCAGAGCAGGGCCTTACAATGCCGTCATCCTTAAGAAAGGCCATAATAATGTCTCGCCTTGAAACCTGGTGAAGCCTTCAAAGAGAAGTACATTGTAATCTGCCCTTTGGATTGTAAATTGAGAGCACAGGCTAGAAAATGAGGATTCCCTAAGGAAAAAATACATTCATAAAACAACAACACACTTTTCTGCGTGGAAACCGAGGTACTGATCCTAGGAGAAGAGGATAAGCATCTACTCGCTTACATTTTTAAAAGCAGCAGCATGAACTTCAGATCAAAACTGAGTGCACAGATGCTTTCTAGAACAGTCTTGCGAGTTGCCCGTTCACCCTAAGCCATCTTCTTGCCACACTGCACTCCTACCCTAGTTCGTCTACTCATCTATTCTTGTAATATGCTTATGATAATTCTCTCTTGAGAATTATCTTAGAATTCCAAGTTACATAAATGACAGTGACAGGCATGACAGATAAGTATGTTATCATCTACTTCCTCAACCAGTTCCACAGTCATTCTTAGCAGTCAGAAAACTCATTCTAAATAAGTTATGGTATTCTTCTTGAGTACAACTAAGCCTGAGGTAGTGTGTCAAGCACCACCTGAAGATGATGATTGAGGACCACAAGTGCTCTGTGACTGAGTTTGGTGTGGCCCCCTCCAATGAAAGCATTAAATACTACTCTTTCTTGTGAACTCAGTAATTGTTCATGGCGGGGAGGGGGTGGCAGAGATTTTTCCTTTTGCGTCACTGCATTGTTTGGAATGTAGTTGGATTTCAACATTTCTGCATTTAAAATGGTTCAGTGCTGTAAGGAGCAGCACTTAAAAACTATGCCCTATTTTGATTACTTCACAAAAAACCAAACTCATTGCCATCAAGTTGATTCTGACTCATAGCAACCCCTCCTTGGGTTTCCAAAGTGTTATCTCTACAGAAGTAGATTGACCAATTTTCCTTCCAAGGAGTGGCTCATGGGTTTGAACCGCCAGCTTTCTGGTTAGTAGTCAAATGCCTTAAGCACTCAAAATGGGAATGCTAAAAGTTGTCTCTTACTCAAAAAATATGAGAATTATAGGAATTATTAGAGATCATGGTAACATAAAACTTACAAATATAGATATAATGGATTTCTAAGATGAGAGCAACATTTAATTTAAGTTTGCTTTTCGTCT